AGACACCCTTGTAGCCGGTGGCGTTGCTGGAGAGGTGCAGGCGCAAGCCCTCCGCCTCCGGCACCACCGCCGCTGCCGCCTCCGCCGCAAGCGCTTCTCGAAACGACGACGCGTCGTGGGATTGCTTGGTGCCCTTGCCGCTTGCCGAGGCCGACGGAGAAGAGGCCGCCTCGGGGGCAGCCGTGGCGCAGGCCGCCTCGGGAGCAGCCGTGGCGCCCGCCTCCCGACGCAGCTTGTCGCGGAGGCGCCGCGCGATCTCCGCCTTGGTGCCCTGCTTGACGAGGCCCTCCGCCTCGCACAGCGCCTTGAGCTGCGACACGCTCAGACCGCCGCTCTCGCGCAGCCGCCTCGCCAGCGCCTCCGAATTGCCGTACGTCGGCAGCCCCTTCTCCTCGCAGAGCGGCTTGAGCCGGCGCGGCGGCAGCCGATCCAGCCAGTTTAGCGTCAGCGCCTCCGCCTCGGCCTCCGCGTCGTGCTTGCGCCACGCGTCGGTCAGCGAGGCGGCGCGCAGCCCCGCCGGGCTGTGGTAGATGGCGTACGTGCGCTCCGAGGAGGTCGTGCGCTGCTCGACGCTCCAGCCCGGCGGCACAGGTTCTGCTGGCGGCTCTGGAAGCTCCTCCCGCGGCAGCGGCGGCGGCGGCGGCGGCGGCGGCGGCGGCGGCGGCGGCACGGCCGGCTCCGCGAGTTTGCGTGCCTTTGGGCTCCTGCCCTCTGCCTGCGAGGCCGGCAGCGTTTGCGCGGGCCGGATGAGCCCGGCCGCCACTCCCTCCTCCTCGTCTCCGTCCTCGTAGGCAAGGTCGTACGTGCCGTCTGCGTTGACTGCGGCGATGCGCGCGGGGAACCACTTTGCGCACCTGCCGTGCTGCGCGCGCCCCGGTGCCGACGAGACGTGGTCTCCTTCCGCAAACGTGCCGGCGGAGAAGGCAGCGGAGACGGTGGTGGCGGCGGAAGGAGCTGCCGCCACAGAGCCTGCTGGTTGCGGCGCCTCTGACTCTGCCGCCGATGACGATGGCCCCGCCTCCGCCTCCCGCCCGACCGCCCGCGCGTAGGCCACCGCCGCCTCCACCGCCGTGTCGAAGCAGCCCAGATAGACTGCCTTGCCGTTCTCGTACTTACTGGCTTCGAAGCTGCCAGAGGTGAGCCTGTAGACACACTTGTAGCCGGTGCCGTTGCGGCTGGAGAGGTGCAGGCGCAAGCCCTCCGCCTCCTCCACCGCCTCCGCCTCCGCCTCCGCCTCCGCCTCCGCCTCCGCCTCCGCCTCCGCCTCCGCCTCCGCCTCCGCCTCCGCCTCCGCCTCCGCCTCCGCCTCCTCCACCGCCTCCGCCTCCTCCACCGCCGCCACCGGCGCCTCCCCGACCATCCGCGCATAGGCCACCGCCGCTTCCACGGCCGTGTCAAAGCAGCCGAGGGCGACATTCTTGCCGTCAACCTTGCGCTGCGCCCGGAAGCGGCGTCTTTCCTTGTGCACGCCCCTGTACCCGGTGCTGTTGCTGCGAGAGAGGTGCAAGCGCAAGCCCTCCGCCTCCTCCACCACCGCCGCTGCCGCCGCCTCCGCCGCCGCCTGCGCCGCCACCGGCGGCGCCTCCCCGACCGCCTGCGCGTAGGCCACCGCCGCCTCCACCGCCTCCGCCTCCGCCTCCGCCGCCACCGGCGCCTCCCCGACCATCCGCGCATAGGCCACCGCCGCTTCCACGGCTGTGTCAAAGCAGCCGAGGGCGACAGACTTGCCGTCAACCTTGCGCTGCGCCCGGAAGCGGCGTCTTTCCTTGCGCACGCCCCTGTACCCGGTGCTGTTGCTGCGAGAGAGGTGCAGGCGCAAGCCCTCCGCCTCCCCCGCCACCGCCGCCTCCGCCGCGCCGTGTGAAGCATTCGCGGAAAGTGTCCTCATGAGACAGAGGGGGCGCTGGGCGATGGTGTTAGGCCCAGCGTCGTCACTTCGTGTATTTTTTTCTTTTTTTGAGAGCGCCTTCGTTGTTAATAGTACAAACCCAATGGTCCTCTGCGAGCGGTCCTTCGTTGCAGTCGCACACACGCACACGCCGCGCCGCACCGCGCGCCCGCCCACCGCCCCGCCCAGGCGGGAAAGAGATGAGGAGATGGGACAGCGAAGGGGGAAGCACAAGCACGTATGGGAGGGTTCAGTAATGCGCCACGCTGCCCGGCGTCTCTCACTTTCCGGGACAGCCCCGCCCTTGTGAGGCAGGAAAGTGACGGCTACCCCGTACGCCCTGCAGCCTGCTACCCCGACGCCGACCGCCCATTCTCCCCTCCTCGTTCCCCCCTCGAATGCTCCGGACCCCGACAAGCCGCCCGACGTTGGGCCTCTGCCCCGCACGCTCCCGCCCCTCTGCCCCTCACACACACCCAGGCCCGACATGCACATACAAGACAAACCCGGCGTCCTGCTCTCAAAAGAAAAGAAAAAATGGGAAGGAGGAGACCAGCGGGGGAGACTCCCCGCCTATGCAACACCCCAGAGAGGGGCTGCCATCGCCGAAGCTGTGCCTAAGCATAACTCCCAAACCCGCAGCGGCCCGGGGGGCCTTGGGGGCAGCCTGCCGGACCGCTGTTGCACGGGGCCAAGCACCGGCAGATGAGTGGAATTGATGGATTGGGCTGTTGTCCGTGCCTCCCCTCTATACGTCAGAGTGAGACCTACGCCGCGCCGGGTAAGGAGCGCGCCCGGTCCTCGACGGAGCCGCGCGCCCCAAACGACCCAGGCGGCGAGTAGTCGTCCTCGAACCTTCGACTCGTAGTCGCCCGTGGTTAGCGCCCCTCCTCCCTCGCCCGTCCCTATTCATACTGCTCCCGAGGCGCCCGCGGCATCTCGCCGCCCATCTTCGGCCACGCGTTGTAGTCGAAGATGGCGGCGTTGCGCCTCGCGACGATGGCCGAGTGCACTTGCAGGAAGCGTTTGCGCTCGCTACTGACCCGCCATCGTTCGCTGTCGGAGGACGCCTTAGCGGCCTTGATGTCGAAGTTGGTGTTGAACCACGTCGCCGCCTCGTGCCCGATGCCGCCACGCGTGCTCGCCGCCCATGTCATAAAGTCGCAGTTTTTGGCGTCGCACGCCGCTGCCTTGGCCTTCCGCTTCGTCGCCTCGGCGTAGTCGGTGGCTAGGCGCTTGCCGCTCGCCAGCGGGCGCAGCTTGTCATGGTGCACCGCGGTGACGCACGTGCCGTCGTACACCACGGCGCGCGCCGACTCTGCATAGTTGCCGAAGACGCCGTCGCCCCGTTGGTACGGGTTGGTGTCCGGATCGTGCGCCCGCGTCGGGTCCCTGCAGCCGAGCCTCACCTCCATGACCTTTGCCGAGGCGCCGAAGGCGCGGGCGACGTTCGTGACGTGGGTGTTGAGGGATGTGTGCCCCGTGGCCAGCCAGCCGCCGTAGTTGCACCCATCCCAGTGCGTGCCGTTGAGGTGCTCGAAGAGCGACAGCGTGCGCGGCACTCGCGCGTCGCCGATGTCGCACGGGACGCATCCCGTTAGCCTCGTGCGGTGGTAGATGCACACCGAGTTAGGGCCCACGCCGACGCAGCGCGTGGCGAGGGTGATGGCGCCCTTGGGGTGGTTGAGGTAGCCCTGCGCCTCGTGGAGCCACGCCTTGTCGTTCAGCTCGACGTCCTTGTGGACGACGTCGATGCCGAGCACCGCGCCCGCCCCGAGTTGCTTCGTCGAGCGGAAGTGCGCTCGCGTCGCCGGGTGCACCTTCGGGTCGTTGACGATGGCGTCGAACATGTCTTGCTGCAGGGCGTTGTTGGCGACGTGCTGGAAGTGGCGCCCCGAGACCTGTTCGATCCCCTTGTAGTCGACGGAGCCGTCGTCCGCGACGATCTTGTTGCGGAGGGACCTCCAGTCGTCGGCGTCACTGTCCGGGCCGCTCGCGAAGCCCGCCGAATTGCTCACAAGCTCTTCGATGAACGCAATTGCCTCCGCTAGCATTGGCACGCCGGACGTGGCCCACTCGTTCGGGGGCGGCACCAATGGGGACACGTCCTCGAGCCGCCGCAGCAGATAGAGGACGTCGAGCACGCGCCCGGTCGAAGCGGCCGGCGCGATGAGTCGTGGGTGCGCCCAGCCGAAGCCGCCATTCCGCTGCGAGAGGTGCATCGCCTCCTCGCACCGCCGCTCCGTCGGGCCGGCGGGGTTGGCGTCGTGCTGCACGTCGCGGATCTCAGAGGGGCTGGTGGCGGTGAGCGTGCGGAAGAGCTGCGCTTGCGTCTCGCCAGCGTACTCGAGCGGCTCGCGCGTGACCGAGGGCTCGCAGCCACGGGCGACGTGGTTGAGCGCGGTGGACGCCTTGAGGGTGAAGCGTCCGAGGAGCTCGGCCGTCTGCCGCCCGAGCGCCGGCGTGAGCTTCTCGAGCACCCTCAGCTTGATCTCGTGCGCCCGCACCTTGTCCATGGCGATGCCGGTGCGCGCTGCCGCTTCGTAGCCCACGCCGACGCCGTTGACTCGGAGCGCGTCGCGCAACACCGTCGGCCACTTGCGCTTTCCCTCGTGCATCTGCGACGGGAAGAGCTTGATGAAGCGCGCTACGTCAAGCTCCGTGTCCTGCCACTTCCGCGACTGCAGGATCTTGAACTTGCGCGCGTTCGCGGAGAGGTTGAGCTCTCGCTCCGAGAGCTTGACGTAGGCGGTGCACCACTCCGCCGCCCGTTCGATGTCGGCGGCCTCGCGGACGACGGTCGGCGCGTGGGCGTCGTCGGCGATGCACTTCGGCACAACCTCCGGGTACCTCTCCTTGAGCGGCTTAAGGACGAGGAAGCAGACGGCGATGCAGAGCGATGTGTTATAGTTCCAGAAAATAAAATGAACTCGGGGGCACGGGACGCGGCACAAACGGGGCACAAACGCTTCTTGTGTAAAGTAAGATACCCGCCCAAGGGGCGTCTACTTGGGTTTGTCCGCGACACATCGCGGGAGATACATGCCCAAGTCTCGCGGCACGGGGAAACCCGCAAATCCATCCCCGCCGGGGCGTAAATCGGTCCAGGGCACCTCGTACCCTCACGCCATCGTCGGACGCTGCCTGCACTCGCGTCGGTCCCTGGAGGCCTCGCACTGGCGCTGCACGCCTCGAGATGAACGGGCCTGACTCGCGAAACGTCTGTGTCCTCGCTCACGTCGACCACGGCAAGACTAGCCTCTCCGACGGCCTCATCGCGAGCAATGGCATCATCTCGAGCCGCCTGGCCGGCCAGCTGCGCTACATGGACTCGCGCGACGACGAGCAGGACCGCGGCATCACGATGAAGGCGTCCTCCATCGCGCTGGTATACCAGCCGGAGGAGGTGGCGGCGGCGGGCGGCGGCGCAGAGGCGGCGAGCCCGCTGCGGGTCAATCTGATCGACTCGCCCGGCCACGTCGACTTCTGCTCCGAGGTCTCTTCGGCGGTGCGGCTGAGCGACGGCGCGCTGCTGGTGGTGGACGTGGTGGAGGGCGTGTGCGTGCAGACCGCCGCCGTGCTGCGGCAGGCGTGGGACGAGGGCGTCACCCCGCTCCTCGTCCTCAACAAGATGGACCGGCTAGTCGCCGAGCTGCGCCTCTCGCCCATCGAGGCGTGGGGGCACATCAAGCGGATTCTCGGCCAGCTCAACGCCATCGCGGGCCAGTTCTACACCGCGGACCGCCTCGTCGCCGAGGGCGGCGCCGCCGCCGCGTTGGCCACTGGTGGTGACAGCGGCGGCGGCGACGATGGCGGCGGCGGCGGCGGCGGTGACGGCGGCGGTGACGGCGGCGGCAGTGGCGGCGGCGGCAGTGGCGGCGGCGGCGTGGAGAAGGGGGTGCGCGAGCTCCAATTCTCGCCGACGCGCGGCAACGTGCTCTTCGCTTCGGCGGCGCACGGGTGGGCCTTCGACCTCGCCGCGTTTGCGCGGCAGTACGCTGCCAAGCTCGGCCTCAAGGAGAGCACGCTGCAGCGGACCCTGTGGAAGGAGGAGTGTCAACTCACTATTGACGAGCTGGTCGTTAGGAGAGCACGCTGCAGCGGACCCTGTGGGGGGAGTACTTTTACCAGCCGAAGACGAAGCGGGTGGTCTCGAGCGACCCGTCGGGCCGGCTCAAGCCAATGTTCGCCGAGTTTGTCCTCGGGGCGGTCTGGCGCGTCTACGCGGCGGCGCTGCTCGAGCCAGGCGCGAGGCCACCCCACCATCTCCCCACATCTCCCCATATCTCCCCATGTCTCCGTGGCGTCCTCAAGTGCGAGGCCACCCCACGCACGCCGCCCCATCTCTCCGCATCTCCCCACATCCCCCCACATCTCGCCATATCTCCCCACATCTCCCTTTGCTCAGACGCCACGCAGCTCGCCAAGATGATCGGCTCGCTCGGGCTGTCGGTGCCGCCGCAGCAGCTGAATCACGCGGACGGCGCGGTCGCCGTGCGCGCCGTGATGAGCGCGTGGCTGCCGCTGGCGCGCTCGCTCCTCGGCGCCGTCGCTGCGCACCTCCCCTCCTCGCGAGCCGCGCAGGCGGCGCGGCTGCCGTCGCTCTGCCCGTCGCTCGCCGCGCAGCCGCGCACCGGCCGCGTGCGCGCGGCGATCGAGGCGTGCGACGCGTCGGAGAGTGCGCCGCTGGTGCTCTACGTCGCAAAGATGGTGTACGCGGTGGGCGTGCCGGGCGCGCACGAGGCGGACGAGTTTGTCGGCTTCGCGCGCCTGTTCTCAGGCACTCTCCGCCCCGGCAGCGGGGGCACGGTGCGGCTGGTTGCGGCGGCGGCCGGCGGCGGCGAGGGCGGCGAGGGCGGCGGCGAGGGCGGCGGCGGCGTGGTGCTGCCGATCGACAGCTTGCGCCTCTATCTGCTGATGGGGCGTGAGCTGGTCAGCGCGCCGCAAGCGTCTGCAGGCTCCATCATCGGGGTTGGCGGGCTGGCTGGCGCGGTGCGGAAGCGCGGCACCGTAGATGGTGGAGGTGCAGATCCACACCTCCCCACGTCTCCCCAGATCTCATCTCTGACGGCCCTCGATGCGGGGGTGCACCTTCTGCAGAGAAGAGACACGAGGCACCCCGAGCCCGCACATCGCCTCTCTTCACCCGTACTCTCGCTGCAGCCGCGTACTCGTACAGGATTCGGGTGATGTTGGGGTAGGGTACTGGACACGGTACCTTAGGGGGAGGGCACTCCGCCGAGGCTCCGACTTCAGCTCTCTGCATTCCGACTCGCAGGTGCGGCACCCTCTCCAGCGAGCCGGACTGCCCGCCGTTTGAGCCGATGCGGCTCGCGGGGGCGCCCATCGTGCAGGCTCGAGATATGGGGAGATGTGGGGAGATACGGGGAGATACGGGGAGATATGGGGAGATATGGGGAGACCGTGCAGGCGGCTCGCCTTTCCCGAGCCAACCGACGCCCCCCCGCGCCGCAGCCTCGCCCGAGCCGCCTTCTGCCCTCGCCCGCAGGTGGCTGTCGAGCCGACCGACATCAGCTCGCTCCCGACCCTCGAGGCGGGCCTCCGCCGGCTGGACGACTCGGACCCCGCCCTCGAGACGGCGCGATGCCGCAGAGATGCCGCAGAGATGCCGCAGAGATGCCGCAGAGATGCCGCAGAGATGCCTCAGAGATGCCTCAGAGATGCCGCCGAGACGCGCCGAACCGCTCTCGAGGCGCGAAGCCCCCGCAACTGACGAGAGCTGCGCGCGCACACACACGCGCGCGCGCGCACACACACACATCACCCCCCCCTCCCCTCCTCGCGCCGCCGCCGCCGCGCAGGACACACACCACACACCCCTCCCCTCCTCGCGCCGCCGCCGCCCGCGTAGGCGACCCTCCCCATCTCTCCCCATCTCTCCCCATCTCTCCCCATCTCTCCCCATCTCTCGCTGCCGCGTAGGCGACCCTCCCCATCTCTCGCCATCTCTCCCCATCTCTCCCCATCTCTCGCTGCCGCGTAGGCGACCCTCCCCATCTCTCGCCATCTCTCCCCATCTCTCCCCATCTCTCGCTGCCGCGTAGGCGACCCTCCCCACCGGCGAGCTCGTGGGAGATACGGGGAGATACGGGGAGATACGGGGAGATACGGGGAGATAGGCGACCCTCCCCACCGGCGAGCTCGTCCTGCGCGCGTGCGGCGAGGTGCACCTCGAGCGCTGCCTCCACGACCTGCGCACAACCTTCGCGCCCGGGGTCGAGCTCGCCATCTCGCCGCCCATCGTCCCCTTCCGCGAGGGCCTGGCGCCAGAGGCGGACGGCAGCGCCACCGCCGCCACCGCCGGCCGGCACGCCCTCCCTCGCCGTCCGAGCGGCGCGGCTTACATGAACATGAACCACTGATGAGCTATGAAGGACTAATGAATTAGGCACGCCTCCCTCGCCGTCCGAGCGGCGCGGCTTCCCGACTCCGCGGCGGCGGCGCTGCGCGATGGCGCTGCGAGCTTCGGCGGCGGCCACAGCTGCCTCCCGCCGCTCGACCTCCTCCCTGCGGCGCAGGCCGCGGCGCTGCGCCACGTCTCCGACGCGCTCGATGCCAGCGCCATCGGCGGCGGCGTCGCGGGCTGGGCTGTACACGAATGCAAGGTTGAGTAAGGGTTGGTTAAGGGTCAATTAGGCGGCGGCGGCGCGGGCTGGGCCGGCGCGCGGCTGCTCGGGACGGGTCCTCTCGACACGCTCCTCGTCTGCAGCGCGCAAGCCGCGGAGGCGATGGAGGTGCCGACGAGCCCGCTCGCGCGCACGGCGGGCAGCCAGTTGGCGACGTCGCTTGTGTCCGGCTTCCTGCTCGCCGTGGCAAAGGGCCCCCTGTGCGACGAGCCGATGAGCGGCGCGAGATTACCCGTGATTACCCGAGATTACCCGAGATTACCCGCGATTAGCCCCCTGTGCGACGAGCCGACGAGCGGCGCGTCGGCCCCTCCCCTCGCGCGCGAGGCGGCGGGCGGCGCCCCGTCCCCACCCGCGTCGCCGCGACTAGGCGCCGTCTTTCTCGTCGAGGAGGTCCGCTGGAGCGACGAGGCGGACGGCGGTGGCGGCGGCGGTTGGGATGGCGGCGGCATCACAGGCAGGGGCATCACAGGCAGGGGCGGCGGCGGTGCCGACCCTCCCGCTGAGCCCGCCGCCGCCGAGCCCGCCGCCGAGGCTGGTGCGCTGCCCGGCCAGCTCATTGCCGCGATGCGCGAGGCGTGCCGCGCCGCTTTCCTGCGCTGCGGCACGCGGCTGCTCGAGCCGGTGTACCGCTGCGAGGTCCAATGCGACCAGGAGATCCTCGGCCGCATGTACGCCGTGCTGCGGAAGCGGCGCGGCGAGATCCTGGCGGAGGACTTGCGTGAGGGCACGGACCTCTTCCTCATCTCGGCGAGCTTGCCGGTGGTCGAGTCGTTTGGCTTCGCGAACGATTTGCGCAAGAACACATCGGGCGCCGCGCACCCTCAGCTCGTCTTTTCGCACTACGAGGCGCTGCCACAGGACCCGCTCTTTGTGGTGGCGACCGAGGAGGAGCAGGAGGCGCTGGACGACGGAGACTTGCCCACCATCAATCTAGCACGCAAGCTGATGGACGGCGTGCGCAGGCGAAAGGGGTTGCGCGTCGAGGACAAGGTGGTGGCGTCGGCGACGAAGCAAAGGACGATGTCGCGCAAGCGATGAGCCGCCAACCGCGCCCTGCGTTGTCGTATTCTGTGATCTGTGATCTGTGAGGGTAGAGGGCCCACAGCGTCCTAATCTAAAATCTGAGGATTCAGGATTCAGACGCTTCGCTACTTCGCTTTAGTGAGGCCAAAGTGAGTTTATGGATGGGTGAGAGAACGATGCGCGACACGAGGAGGCACGCGGACCGACTCGTGGGACATAAAAGAGAGCGAGTACTTGGGCGAGTAGGCCGTGCGGTCAACGCTGCCGCGCGCGACCTTGCGCGCGAGGCGGCGCAGCTTGAGAACGGCGGTGGGCGAGAAGCCGCCGCCGAACGTCTTCGTGGAGCAGCAGGTTGAAGTTGTTGCGCTTGACAAAGATCGCGTCGTGGTAGAAACCGCGATGCGCCTTGACGTAGCCGTGGCCGGTCTTGTGGGAGACCTGGGAGAAGGGTTGGTCGGGCTGCCCGCGCGCCTTGCAGCCCATGTTCAGGCGGCGGGCCTTCTCCTCGGTGTTGCCGAAGGCGTAGGAGTGGCCAACGGAGGGGGTGTGCCGCCACTCGAGGCGTTGCCAACGCCCGTCGAGGAGGTCTTGAGGAGGGGCGTCCAGAGGTTGATTTCATTCACTTCATCGCATCCTCCCGGCCCAGCGTGGGGTTCTGCGAGGTCGACCTTGTACCCCTCGTTGTACTGCCGGGTGAGCTCTGGTTTCTCCTTGTCACCGTGCACGACCGGCGCGTTGGCCGGGGCGCGCATCGCGTCCGCCCAGGCGGCGAGGACGCTGCCGTCGTGGGGCCGCCGGTGGTGGGCCTTGTTGTAAAGGAGAGAGAAGTCTCTCTCTCTCTCTCTCTCTCTCTCTCTCGCCTTGTTGTAAAGGTAGTCGCCGAAGAAATCGACTGGTTTTGTTGTTGATTGAGTGAGCCCGCTGAGGCGTATGACGGCAGATACTGCTCTTGCGCGGTTGTGATTGATCACTCACCCGAAGCTACCAGCCGAATGATTTGACAGCTTCGGTTATCTTCAGCAGCACAGGAAAAGAAAAAATCGGTGCGTGAGACACCTCGACAGACCGGAAATGATGGTCTTCTTCGCCGCCTTTGGTCTCTCGGCCACCGCAGAGCTCTCGCCCGCGCTGCCGTCGCCGTCGCTGCCGCCGTTTGCACCCTACCCATCTGCCGCCGCCGTCGCTGCCGCCATCTGTAAGGAGGGCTTCTACATGAGCAACTCGAGCGCCGACCCTTACGACATCTTTAGGAACCCGACCACGTACTGTAAGGATTGCCCGCGCAACGCCATCTGCAGCGCCGGCACCACTCTCGAATCTATCCTCCTCCCAGCCGGCTACTGGCGTGCCAGTCCCTCCAGCACCGTGCTGTATGAGTGCGGCCGCTTCGGGGGCGGTGACGAGGCACGCAAGACGCGCTGCGCCGGCGGCCCCGAGGCGGGAGGCAACGGCGACGGCTACTGCGCCACTAATTTCACCGGCCCCGAGTGCCAGCTCTGCGATGCTTCCAACCACTACCTCGTCGGCGGCGACACCTGCGAGGAGTGTCCCTCAGACGCGGTGATCGTGGGCAACATCGTCGCCCTCTTCGTCGGCCTCTTTGTCTCGTGCGCCATCGCGGCGTGGGTCTACTCAACGACAAGCTTGCGACGCAAGCCATGCATCGGCCCTCTTCTCCGCTTCGCCGACCGCGCTGTCGCCGTATTCGCCACGTTCGGCCTCACGCCCAAGCTCAAGATCCTGCTGGGGTTCTACCAGGTGGCGCTGGTTCTCGACGGCACCTACTCAGCGCAGCTCCCGGAGGAGTTCATGACACCCACCGACAGGCTGAACGACTGGATTTCGCTCAACTGGGCCAAGGCCCTTCTTGCTATGCAGTGTGGACCGTCCGAGCTCCTCGCCGTCACGCTCTTGCCTGTGGGCCTCATCGCTCTCCTTTTGCTCTCGGGCGTCGCGCTGCGGGCTTATCGCTGGCACGTCGCGCCTCTTCCACACCAGAGGCTCTGGCCAAGAGAGGTGGGCCTCGGCCTCCTCGAATTCTTGCCAGCCAGCCTTGTGCTTGTGTTCCTATGTGTGCCGGGGGTCAACGCCTACATCTTCGGCGCGTGGTCCTGCCAGGCGACGCTGTTTGCCTTAGCCACAAACGCCAAAATCAGATGTCTCCTCACACAGCCCCGCGTTCCCACACAGGCGTATGATGACCCGGACCGCATGGTGAGTTACCTGCGCCGTGACGCGAGCATCGAGTGCTTTACCGATAAGCACCAGTCCATCATTGACCGCGCTATCATTTTTGCCGGGGTGTGGGTGGGTGGCTCGCTGATCCTCTACAGTTCGCTCCTCGCTGCTTGCTACACGCCGTTGCGGGCCAAGGTTTCCTCCCCGCTGACGCGGGCCACGGCGTTCCTCCACCAGGAGTACACCACGACTTTCTTCTGGTGGGAGGCGCTAGAGCTGGCGCGCAAGCTGATTCTCAACGGCATCGTGCTGCTAATCCGAGAGGAACGCGCCTTTCTTCGGCTCGTGGTGGCTGTTCTGCTCTCTTCCTGCTACCTGACGGCGCTGGCGGCCACGCAGCCGTATCGAAAGTTTGAGGACTACGCGCTTGCCGTGGTAAGCCAATCGTTCACGCTCCTAGTGCACACCCACTCGCTCTATTCCCCCCCCCCCCTCCTGCAGGCAACTAATCTTGTGCTCCTCGTCAACTTCGTCTTGGCTGGTTGGTGCTCCATCTTCCTCAACATCGAGGAGCGCTCCGGCAAGGAGGAGGCCATCACCATCTTTGGCTTCAACAGTGCCGATTGGATTGCGGTCACCATGCTCAGTCTCACCTTCGGCATGACCGTTCTCTTCGTCGTGCTCGCAGCAGTTATCGGCGCCATCGCCGCCCAACGCCGGCGCGAGCGCGACCGGGTGCTGGAGGAGACAAATCGCGCGCTGGCAGACGCCGCGCTGGAGATGCAAGGCGTCCAGTGCACCTTCCTCTTTCTTGACGCGGACGTGCTCCGCTCCGGGCGGTTCGACGAGGCTGGCTACAAGACGACGCTACCGCGGCTGCAGGAGATACAGGCAGCGCACCCGGAGTGGATCCAGCGGCGAGTGCTCATGCGGCACCTCGCCTACGGGCGTCACGCGTACCGCGGCGAGATCCTCGCCGTGAGCCACCGCTGGGAGCAGCCCGAAGCGCCCGATGCGAGCGGCGCCCAGCTGCGGGCGATCCGCGAGTACCTTCAGAGCCCGGCCGGCGTCGAGGTGAGCTTCGCCTGGTATGCCTTGAGCACTGCCGTGAATAGATGCTGTTCACGCACGCCGCACTGTGAACAGGTGGGCTTCGTCTGGTACGACTACTGGTGCATGCCGCAGGGCGAGCGGACGCCCACGGAGAAGGTCGACTTCAAGCGCATGCTGCAGAATGTTCTTGTGTCTCTCCTGGCTAGGCGCGAGATGAAGCCCCTTTCCCTTATTGGGCGTGGACTGCCCCGCACATAGGTCAACCTGCTCTACCTCGGCTGCTCCGTCCTCATCCTGCAGGAGCTCTCCTACCTCTCACGCTTCTGGCGCGCACGCCACACGGCCACGCCTCGCGCTCTCCTCCTCTCTAGACCGCTTCTCGCCCTCCTCCCCGCGCTCCAGGACGCAGTTTGAGGCGTGGTGCAGCATGCAGGCGGCCACCCCCACCCCCACCCCTCCCCCACCACCACACACACACACCGCACGGGGCCTTCAACGCCTTCGGACGTGGAGTCGCGAGGGTTACCTGGCCTTACATGGAGCTCCACTTACGCGGTACACCTGCAGGCGGCCGCCGGAGGCGGCCTTGGGCCGGCGCCCGCCGCAGAGCGGCGCTGCACCGTCGTCCCCATCCACCAGGCCACGGAGGGGATGGCATCCGAGCTCATCATGATGTGAACGCCGCTCTGAAGGGGTGATGTGCGCTTTCAGGCCGCTCGTCTGTCACCTCCGCATAACCTACCGCGTAGGTGGGCGAGCCGCAGCGTGGACGAGGCGATCGAGACGCTGGCAAGCCCGGACGTGACCGTCACCAACCAGTCCGACAAGGAGCTGCAGCTGTACAAGCTGCGAGAGCTCGACTCGCTGGTACAGGAAGCCGTGGCGCAGTGCGAGAGCGAGGCAGCCGACCCCGCGTTGGTCGAGATTGCACCAGCGCCGGACCGCGGCTCCAATAGCATCTTTGAGCGGGCCGAGTGAGTCGCGTTGTGTGTCAATCAACGTTGTGTGTTCCAGAGGCGGCCGCACGTCTACGGCCACTTCTTCTCAACAAACAAAACTCTCCCTCTCTTCTTCTCTCTCTCTTCTTCTCCGCTTCTTGCTTGACAATGACATCATGAATGAAAGAACAGTTTAGGAGCAAACGATTGACGCGCCCCGCGTCATCGACCGAGTCCCCCATCTCTTCCACCGGCCGCCTCGGGACAGGCGGAAGAAAGGAAATAACCACGGGCCCAACGCGCCCGTCACGTACCGGGGAAGAAAGCCGACGACGTGTCAAGGCCAAGGAAGGCGAAACTTGCTGTACGCACGTCCACATCGACCGAGCAACCCGCTCCCCTCTCATCGCTCGTGATGTACCTCCCCGACCCCATTGACCTGATCAATCCCTCGCGCGACTGCTGGTGGCGCCCCATTCCCGGCATTGACGCTGCCGCCTGGGTGGACTGGGTTGCCTCCGCCGGCGTCGAGTGCAGCGGGCCGATGCCTCGCGCTGGCCTTCCCGGCTCTGTCGGAGACGGCTCGGCGGCCGGCAGCAGCGACGACGGGCCCGGAGATGGACGCACGGGCTCGCTCTGGATGTACGTCTCCCTCGCCGCTGTCGCGCTCGCAGTGCTCAGCTGCGTTGCCCGGCGGCTCATGGTGGGAAAGGGTGCGCCGGCGGTGAGCCGCGACTTTGTGGTGTTGGAGGAGGCGGGCAGCCGGGCCGGTGGTCTTCCGACGACGCCGGCGCCCTCGCTCTACACCCGCCTGATGACGCGACTGCCGTCGAGCATCCGCACCGCCGAGCAGCGGAACAGCGAAGGTGACATCGAGGCGCCCGCCGTCCCTTCCAAGGCCGCGGCGCCCGCGCTTCAGTCCAACAGCCCGGCCGGCATCCTGAGCATCGAGGATCGCATCAACGCCCTCGAGACCACGACGGGCGTCGACCTGGATGGCGACGGCGATGTCGGCTTGCCGGGCCACAACAACCTGCCGCACACGCCCCGGGACCGTGAATCGACGAGGCGCTCATCGCGCCACTCGCGCCCGCGCTCCGAGCGCCGCTCGTCCAGATCGTGGATCAAGAAGGGCTCCTCAAAGCCGAGCATCGAGCGCGTTTGAGACGTCACGACCCCTTCCTTGTTCCCTCTCCCACCCGGGTCTCTCAAAGCTTTGTAGGGATGGGCGGGTCTCGAAAACACGCACACGTCGTGTGTGTTATTATGGGTGCATTATAAAGCCGCGTGTTGCTATCGATTCGGGGGGGCTGCACCGCGCGATGGACACACGCGCTCAAACAATGCCTCGAGGCGATACCCGGGGGCCGGGGGCCGCCGCTGGGCGGCGCCCGGGGCGCGATCATCTCTCGGATCCGGGCGGCGCGATGTCGTGGCTCCATATATGAGTGACACTATGGATTCCGAGTGACACTAAAGTATGGATAAGAGAGCCGGATCGCAGCTCGCGGATGTCGCTCTACGCGTACGATCGCAAGCCGGACGCGCCTCCCGGCCAGAAGGACAAGCTCGCTGCGCGGCTCGGAAAGGGTTCTTTCGGCGTCACCTACCGGATGCGCAAGGTCGCTGGGATCGATGCGAGGCTGTACGCGGTCAAGATGATCGAGTCGGAGGAGCTGGACGTACGGCGCCGGCTTGGAGAAAGAGGCGCGCCTACTCTCGATGATCGAGCACGAGAATACGCTGCGCTTCTACGACGCCTTTTGGCATGACACCGACGATGGCCGCCTCTTCGTCATCGTCACGGAGCTGCTCACCGGCGGCTCCCTCGCCGAGAAGATCGCCGCCGCGCCGCCGCCGCCCGAGGTTGCAGCGCTGATGCGGCAGGTCGCCTCGGGACTTGCGTACATGCACACGCTCAACCTGCAGCACCGCGACCTCAAGCCAGCCAACGTGATGCTCGACTCGACGGGCCGCGCAAAGATGATCGACTTTGGGCTCGCGTGCGTCTCTTCAGCCTCCCTCCCGTTGCTCGCGCACCAAGACCAAGGTGGGCACCGACGCCTACATGTCGCCCGAAAAGGCCATTGGCAAGCGGTACGGGCCGGCGGATGACGTTTGGGCGGTCGGGTGCATCCTCGCGGAGCTGCTGCTCGGCCGCACGATCGGCTACGTGGCGCTCGACGCGGCAAAGCGGCAGCGCGCGATCGCCGAGGGCAAGTCCGCGAGCGAGCAGCTCGGCTCGTGGGTCGAAGGCTGTCTGCAGGAGATCCCAGGGCGGCGCCCGGCGGCGGCCTTGCTGGAGCAGGGGCTGGCGTCGGGTGGCCCCGGTGCGCACGAGGCGGAAGAGCGCTCGCGGCGGGAGGCAGCGGCGGCTGCAGCAGCAGCAGATGAGGCGGAGGAGGAGCGGAGCCGAGCGGCGTCACGCCGCGCCAGCGCAGAAAAGTATTTTTCGGTACAAACCCTCCGCCTACTCGGCTACTGATGCAGGCTGCATCCCTCCCTGGTAAATAAATAAATAAAAACGGACACCTCTCTACTGTGAGATGGGTAAAAAGGAACAGGTCCCCGCCCTTGCGATCTTCTTGTGCAGGGTGGTATGTTTTATTTCTTTATTTTAGGCTGCTGGTGCAGTCTGCAGCGCTCCCCCGCCCTGGATGTGAGGTTAATGACCGCACTGCGCACTCCAAGTGCTCCCTCCGGGAATGCCCCCAAGGGTCCCGATTCCCCCCTTGCCCAAAGCTTTCGATGCCTGTGATGAGGAACGGGCGTACACTGGCAACTTCCCCGCTGCCTTTAGAGCATGATGCCGGCTCGAGACATGGCGGGAATCGTCTTATTGGTGTCGACGGCGTTCGCGGCGAAGCTTGTGAGATGCGTCGCGGTGTCCGCATAGAGGTACCGAGAGTATACGGGGCCGCAGCCGCCATCGCTGCTGGGTGAGGTCGCCAGTGTGCACCCGCGCGCGATGGCCTCCGCCGCCGTGCAGTCCTTTAGGCCTATGTAGGAGCGATTCCGGGGCAGGTTCAAGCAGGTGTGATTTCCGCCGATGTGCCGGTTCTCCATTTCCTCCGGCGGAGAGCAGGTTGGTGCCAGTCACGCCGGGGCAGGTGCCAACGTCTTGGCTGCCAACGAAGCCGTACGCGCCGGGCTGCGCTGCGGCGTCCTTGTGGCGGAAGAGGGCCCAGGTGAGGCGGAGGGGATAGGCAGAGAGGTGGCGAGGGGGCCAGTGAGGCGTCCTGCATGAAGCCAAAGTAGTCGATGATGGAGCAGCCAGCGAGCTGCTCGCACGCAGTGCCCAGCACACTGTTGTAATGCTCGACCTGCGCGTCGAACGAGCGAAGATGCGCCTCCCTCTCCTCCCGTGTGGCGTCGGTGCTCATGCTCGCCGTGATGGTCGCCCGTGTGGCGGCACCGCGGGTGAGACCGAAGGGGACGTTGTAGACAAAGGCCTGTGCTCCTCGAGACGTCACATGCGTCTCCACCGTCTCGATGAGCGAGCGAGTTAGTGAGACGGGTCAGTGACTGGCGCAACCATTTCGATGGAGCGGGCACCGTAGCCGTACTGGAGGTCGTTGATTCCTCCGTTGACCAGGACAATTTCGCCTGCCATGAACGGGCCGGAAAAGGCGATCTTGTCCGCAAACTGCTCGGGGATGCACGTCGTTGCGCGAGGCGAGGTGTAAGAGCAATTCACGAGCGCGCCAGCGCCAGCAAAGGCGTTGGCCTCGGCGCGGCTCGCATGAGCACGCAGGTGCGTCCCAGTCGAGGCGTTGATGTGGTAGAAGTTGAGGAGCCGCTCGCCGAGCAGCCGTCCGATGAGCGTTCCGAGCGTATCCGGGCCACAGGTGGGGTTGTCGTTGCCCTGGCACCGCCGCCGGGCAGGCTGGTCTGCATGGTCGGCTTGAAGCCGAAGGTACCCTCGTCAAGCTGGCTGTCGCCGAGGATCCAGAGACGGCCTCGGCCGCTGGGCGACGAGGCGAAGCCCTCCACTCCGCTCGACAGGAGCACGGCGAGCAGAGTACGCGCCCGCGTATGCATGTATGTCGATAGCGTGTAGGGAACACAAAGAGAAGGAGGACTGCGGGCGCCACGCCCGCGCCCCCAAGCCAGTTAGTCGATGTAGCCGGACGCCGCCTTTCATCAAGCGTGCCGCAGCAGCCGCAAGAAGGACGGGCAGCAATATCTCACCCCTCCGAAATCGCGCGTCTGCACATCACCCGCGCTGCGCCGAAAGCTAGAACAGCTGCCCGCTCTCTTGATGCGCCGCGCTGTGCCCTGTGCTGACGCTCCATTCAAAAAGACCCTTGGTTACTTCATTCCGGCGTACCCGTGTTAGTGCCAGTTTGTGCGCGCAGTCCCGACCCAGGTTCGAGCCTGCGCCAATGCTGGCCTATCTCGCCCTGTTTGCAGCCTCGTGGTCGCCAACACCGATGCTGCACGACGTGCCACGCGCCGGCGTGCCTGCCTCGAGTTGCACGTGCTGCGAGTTCCAGAACCATGATGGGGCGAAGATAAGACAACCCTGCTACTATATTTCTTTGAATAATCCCTGCACGTGCGCCGATTCCGGTTGGGGCTGGTATTGCGTGGACCAACTGGTTCCGCATAACACGTGCCCCTACTACTAGCACGATGGCAGGCCGGCGGGCGCTGGTGGCAGACGAAGAGAGGCGGAGGTGGTGAGGCCGCCGGGCACCTGGTTGCTCTCCTCCGCCAGCGGACTCGGGGCCCGGTGCTTCGACGCAGTACAGTGTACTTCGTGGTAGTATGAACTCAGAACGGCCCCCCGAGAGCGCCTCTTCCGCGACGGGTTCCGGGGGGTCGGAGGGGTTGCGAGAGGGTGCCGGCTTTTTGTTTGAATCCCGGAGGGCGGAGGAGGACAGGGTCCCCACCTGCACGAGCAGGATTTTGGAAGGACGATCAGGGACACAGGGGATGCAAGTGTGCTCTCCAAAAGACAGAGGAGGTCAGAGCCCAAGGGAGGGAGCCCAGGCGCCAGGGACCTGCCCACGAGCCACGTGCCGCCACCACACACGGGAGGGTTTTGTTCCTAATTCACAATTTCGCTCTCGGGTTTTTCTTCCCCTTGTACGGCTATTCAAGGGCACAAACAACAGCAGAAACGAGACAAACAGGCGACAGGCCACACGCAACCGTTAAGGCTAGAGCAGTGGCCAGTGCATGCAGCAGTCTGCTCCGCCCGCCTCTCTCTAGCTAGCAAACTAACTCGCCGGCCGCAAGCAAGGCACGGACGAGAGCATGTGTCACCTTGGCTGCTCAGCCGAGGTAGGTACGCCCTTCTCACAGCCCCGGTGCCCATGCCTCGACCTTCTTGGGCAGCGGCTGGTTCGACAGGTCCTCTCCGTGGCCCAAACAGCAAAAGTCGCCCTCGCCCCAGCTCCAGACGGCGCCGTCGGCGGCGCGAGCGAGGCTGTGGTCGGATCCAGCCGACACAGCGACGACGCGCTGGCCAGCAAAGGCCTCGACCTTCTTCGGCAGCAGCTGGAGCTGCTGGTCGCCGTGGCCCAGCTTGCCCTTGCCTCCACCGCCCCAGCTCCAGACGGCGCCGTCGGCGGTGAGGGCGAGGCTGTGCTCTTTCCCTGCCGAGACAGCGACGACGCGCCGGCCAGCAAAGGCCTCGACCTTCTTGGGCAGCAGCTGGCGCTGCTGCTGGTCGCCGTGGCCCAACTGGCCAAAGAGTCCCTGGCCCCAGCTCCAGAGGGCGCCGTCGGCGGTGAGGGCGAGGCTGTGGCGGGCTGCAGCCGACACAGCGACGACGCGCTGGCCAGCAAAGGCCTCGACCTTCTTGGGCAGGAACTGGGCCTGCTGGTCGCCGTGGCCCAAGCTGCCAAAGTAGCCCAAGCCCCAATTCCAAACGGCGCCGTCGGCGGTGAGGGCGAGGCTGTGGTAATCTCCAGCCGACACAGCGACGACGCGCTGTCCAGCCAAGGCCTCGATCTTCTTCGGCAGCGGCTGATTCTGCTGGTCGCCGTGGCCCAAGCAGCCGTTCCCTCCCCAACCCCAGCTCCAGACGCTGCCATCGGCGGTGAGGGCGAGACTGTGGGCGGATCCAGCCGACACAGCGACGACGCGCTGGCCAGCGAAGGCCTCGATCTTCTTCGGCAGCAGCTGGCGCTGCTGGTCGCCGTGGCCCAAGCGGCCACAGCTGCCCTCACCCCAGCTCCCGACGGCGCCGTCGGCGGTGACGGCGAGGCTGTGGCCAGCTCCAGCCGCCACGCTCACGGCGCGCTCGTCACCCAGCGTGGACGGGAGGCGGGTCGGCGTGTTGAGCTGCGTCACGCCCTCGCTGTGGCCGAGGAGGCCTGGGTAGCCCCCCTCCGAGCCGCACGACGACAGCCGCCCCTCGCCGTCGATGAAGAGGCTGTGGAAGGAGCCCGCCGCCGCCCTCGCCGGCCGGTCGGACTCGCACAGCAACGCCGCAAAGCACAGCCACCGCACGGCGCAGTCCTCGCCCTCTGGCTTCGCCGGCAGCTCGAAGCCGCGCTCTTGCGCCCACAAGCGGATGCACTGCTCCGCGAGCGAGGCGTGAAAGAGGAGCGACACGGCCGCGACGCGAGCGATGTCGAGGGGGCTGTCGCAGCGGGAGAGGACGCGCTCGAGGAGCTCCCTGGGTAGGTCGAGCAGGCGGGCGGGCGGCGGCGCGTCTGGCGTGGGCGCGGCAGCGGCGGAGGACGCGAGGCGGCGCGAGCTGCGGCGCGGTGGGGAGAAAAAAAAAAGTGTCAAACCTTGACTCTCTCACACCCAGCCCTCTCCGCGCGGCGATGCGCCCTCCCCCCTCGCTTTTGCAAAATCCTGCAAAGGTGGGGACGTGTCTGTCCTCGACCCAGCCCTAGCTTGGGATGTCCGTTGTATTTATTTATTTATTACAGGCTCGAATATAAAGAATTCAGACTCTTAGGTGGTCGGCAGTGCCGCCGGGACACGTCACAGGCGAGCGACCACTCGGAAGCGGGAGGCCGACGCCGGGCACGTCGACGAGCGGTGGCAGGTGGCGGTCGCCGCTGTGCAGCACGCGCGGAGGCGAGAGGGCAGTGCTGGCGAAATGGAGGCAGAGCATCCGGGCGTGCGACTTGGAAGGCGGTGATAGACGGTGGCCAGCGCCCACAAGCGGCGGGCGTGTTTTCTTTCTTCGCGGCTTGTAAATTGGAGAGCCTCTCCTATCGCTAACCCTAACCCTAACCCTAGGAACCCTAACCCTAGGAGTTTCTGTATCGTGCAAACATGCTACTTGCACGCCCATCTGAGCTACCTCTTAAGCGGGGTGATGCGCGAGCTCGCCGCGAGCGCCGCGGCGAGGCCCGCGGCCGCGCCGCGCGGATGGCTCGGCGGCGACTGCGCCTCATGCTCTGAGAAGAACCACGCGGGATTGCCGAGCACGCTGTGGAGGCTCGCGAGGTAGCCGAGGACTTGCCCTCTAGACATCCAGTGGAGATTCATCCCGAAGTTCTTCGTCCCCGGCGCGACCCGTGTCTCGTGAATCCACCACGGCGGAACGAAGAGAACGTCTCCCCGGCGCTGCGTGACCTCGAGGCGCGGCGCAGCGGATTTCTCGCGGAGCATCATCTCCGCGTTGCCCGACCAGCGGTGCTCAAAGTGGCCGAAAAACTGGGGCGCCACGAGCGTCCACCGCTTCTCTTCCTGGAGGCAGAAGCTGAGGAAGCGGTCCATATGCGCATGGAGGTAGTAGACGGCCGTCCGTCCCGCGTGGAAGAAATGGGTTACCACGGGTGCCGTCATGCGATCGACGGACAAGGCCTCAGGCACGGCCATCGTCGCGTGAAGCGTCTCGTCGAGGCGTTTCCGCTCCGCCGCCGTGGCCATGCGCGTGTGCACCTCGAAGTAGTTCCCGTCGCGGTCGATGTCGTGTCCGTCGAACGACGCGATCTTCTCTCGCAGCGTCGACGGGCTACACGGAACCTGCTCGATTATCTGCTTGCTCTTGTTGTCAGCGCCCACGAACTCAAAGTGGCGTTGGATCTTGCCGTTGCACGGAGCGAACAGGTTCTGGGCCTCTTCGGGGAAGTAGCCGACGTCCGTAAGTCCCACGCCGTCCGGAATGCAGCCTTCGAAGAGGATCGGCCGGTCCGCGTCGAACGCGCGGTCCATCTGATCGCATGGGAGCTTGAGCAGCGACGGCGACGGCGCGCCGCGCACAGCGTGCCAGAGGTCGAGGCTGCACGGCATACCGCCGAAGAATGTCAGGTCGGCCGCATTCTCGAACGTGACGAGGCGCGCGCACGCGATGGCAGCGCAGACGGTTGCGAGCACTAGCTGCGAAGGCTTCATTGACGTGCTGCTTGCTTTTTCGCGCTGTCCTGGATGTTCCAGAGCGCGCCAAGGTCCGCCGTAGATGCTTTTTCATTCACCACACGCGTACTCGCATAATGTGGGTAAACGAAAAAAGTAGCGCCCAATTCGTCTACGTACGGCTTAGTGTGTGGTTGGGGTGGCCTCAGGCATCCCCAAGGGAGCCTCTGCGGTGCCACATAAGCAGCTTAGTGATTGTCGAGACTTTAAGGGATTCGTTTGAAGATCTCGCAAACAAGACAGACACTACTATGGTCACCAGTAAACGAAAATTCGACTTTGACGTCTGGGGGGGCGACCCCCCCATCTTTGTTTACCGATGCGTCCTAGAATGCAAAAACGCATTCTAGGACGCACTTTTCATCTCAAAGATACCATGTGTCTCGGGTACACATGCACAGCGCGTCTTTTGAGACAGCAACGCCAATCGGAGATGCCGCGAGCAATCCGGGATGCGTGGAGCAACTAATATCGACTCGCGTATCTTAGGATGCTCGAGCATACCGAGGACAGCGAGCGTCTAAGTAGGAGGCCTACTAGACGCACTCTAATCCAGAGACGCATTTGGTAAACCGCAAAGATGGGGGGGTCGCCCCCCCAGACGTGAGGGATAATATCTCAACAGACTGGGTGAGAGCATAGCATTATTATTGCATATTAGGCCGCATAAGGTCAGACTTGACCCCACAAGCATCCAGAACCCGATGCTCCGGCTCGACTGTGCCGGCACACTGCCTCCTCGCGCACGCGGCTAGCAGGCCGTTGCGGCCCGTGGTGCACCAGAGAGAGAGGTCGACGCGTTGCCCCCGCTGGCGACCCCGCGCGGCTCAGGCCGGCCAGAAGGTGTGTGGTGACGGCACCGTGGCAGGAGTGCGGAGATGAGCTCGCCGAACGCGAGCAGCAGATGGCCAAAGTGTGCCAGCGCGAGAGCCTCGCGAGCGGGCGCAGAAGGAGCTCGCCGTGACACGATGCCGGGCGGTGGTGGTGCTCTGGCGACTGTGCACAGTGGGCAAAGTCAGGCTGCAGCAGGGCAGCACGATGGTAGTGCCCTGCTGCAGCCTGGCCTGACATGCACAGGGCGAACAGAGACACTACTATCGTCTGGCGCTCGTCACCGAATCTGGGCGAACTTCGACCGCCGCCACAGCTCACCACGAGCACGCAGCGACAAAATGCTGACTGTACGGAAGTTGAGGCTGGTCGAGAGGAAGAGGCTGCCGTGCGAGCCGGCAGCTGGCTGGCTCGGGCGGACTGACTCCGGCGTGTTTTTTCGGCTTCTTCTTTCATAGTAGCGTATACGCTACTTTCGTTTACCCACACTAGTGTGGGACCTGCGGCGGTACCCGTCTCTGTTGTTCGGGCAGTGAGAGACGCAGGATCTGCACGCCAAAGTGGCGCCACTCCGCATTTGCATTTTGGTTTTGGGTTGTCGGAGATCATCCATCAGCACTCATGTCTCATCAGTCAGTCACGTCAGTCAAAGCAGCCGTGGCACTCATCAGTCAGTCACGGCAGTCAAAGCAGTCGTGGCACGTGGAGCAGTCGCTGCATGCAACGGCGCCGCCACACGCTCCGGACGACCCCGACACACACCGACACACCACGCACAATGGGAGGCTATCGCGCACGATCGGGCATCGCGCCGCAAACAACTCGCCGCACACAGGGGGGGGGGGGGGGGGGGGGGGGGGGCAAAATCCCCCCCCCCCCGGAGAACCCAAAAACCCTTAAAGGTCAGCCCTCCCTCAATGGGGGCGGGGCTTTCCCCCCGGGCCTTTTTCGCCTTTTTAAAGGGGGGGGGGGGCCCCCCCCCCCCCCAAACCGGTTTTGGGGGGAAACCCCCGAACCCCCCCCGATGGGGGGATGCCCAAAGGCCCCCTTGGCCCCCGGCCCAAAGGAAAACAATTAGGGGGGGAATTGGGGGAACCCCCCTTTTTTTACCCCCTCAAAAACCGGAAGGCCCCCGAAAGCCCCCCTTGAAGGCCCCAGGCCCGGGGGGGGAAAAGCCCCCCCCCAAAAAAGGATTTTCCCAAAGGAACCCTTTTCCCCCCGGGGTGGGGGCCCGGCCCCTTTTTCGGAATTCCAAAACCCCCCCCACTTGGAAAGGGGGTTCCCCCCTTTACAAAATCCCCGAATTGGAGCCACTTTGGGCACCCTGGGGCAAAAATTAAAACTCCCCCCCCCCCCGGGGGGAAAAAACCCCCCAGGGACCAGCTGTTGGCGTCGCCGTTTTGATCGAGCTGCATCCACTGCATGGTTTCGTAGTCAAGCGTAAACGCCCAGGAGTTGGTGCCTGGGTGACTTGCTGATGAGAGCGCCTTCCAGGCGGGTAGTCGTGCCCCTCACCTACGGTCATACGGCGGCGTCAGAGGGGGGGAAGGGGCGCGAAGCGTGAACATGGAGGCAAGCAGGTGGTGGCTGCACCTGGCCAAAGCCGGCGACCTCGAAGTTGTCGTAGCTTGTGCGGATATCGCTGAGCGTGAGAGGGACCGGATCGGCAGCAGCATGGGCGGCCGCGTCAGCGGCCGGAGAGGCCGGAGAGCCATCCGACGGAGGCCGGTCGTGCATCGGCGCGTCAGCCGCAGGGGCCGGGGGGGCGGCGGCATCCATCGCTGCGGGTCGCTGCGGGCCGACGATTGTGGACTGATCGATCGTGGCGGGCGGATTTCGGCTGGGACGTTCTACGGTTAAACCAAGAGCGTCGGCGCCGACAAGAGAGACTTATAAGGGTAGATTCTGCGAGTAGATAAGGCGGGAGACGAAATCGTGCGTGTGCGAGGACCTTGTAAAATTCTTTTTCGGTGTCGTACCTGTGTCGAACCTGTGTGCTGTGAGAGGGACTTGGCTTCGTTGAATTCTTTTTCGATAGCATTGCCGTTCTTAACGGAGTCGCTTAGGCGGGTGTGCCTGTGATAGTGCTAGCACGCGCCAGTTCGCACCAGTGTCGAGCCTGTCTGCTGTGAGATAGAGTTGTTTTGTTTAAATTCTTCGAGATCAAAATTCTTTTTCGTGGTGTACCTGTGTTAGTGCCAGTGCGAGCCAGTCCCGTGCCCAGTGTTGTGCGAGGGAGCTCGGTTGTAAAATTCTTTTTCGATCAGGAGGACGTACGACTCAATCCATTGCAACCCCAATGCCCAGCAAAGCGAAACGGAAGGGGCAGACGAGCCGCACGCTTGCCGACGAGGGTCTCCTCCGGGGCGTTAAGGACCCGCCTGCGTGGTTTGCCGAGCAGCGGCCACTTCACCAGTTCGGGGACGCCTTCCGGCTGTACGGGCTCCCCAGCCCTCGGGCAGCGCAGGTCCTCGGCATTCTGGGTGCCAATGGATGCGGCAAGTCCACTGTACTCTCCATCTTCTCGGGCAGCCTTCAGCCCAACCTTGGTGCATCGGCGCCGCCCAAGGACTGGGTCCGTGCGGCGCCGGTGCGCACTGGAATCAGGTCGCTGCTCGCCAGCCAACCGCGCGTTGCGTCCAAGCCGCAGTACGTCGAGGAGGTGGCCGCCAAGTACGCGGGCCGCCATGTCGGCTCGGTGTTGGAGCAGGAGGACACGCGCGCAGCCGGCGCGGTTGTTGTGGAGCAACTGGAGCTCGCTCACTTGTGGGAGAGGACGGTGGATACACTCTCCGGCGGCGAGCTGCAGCGCTTTTCGATTGCGCTTGTCTGCGTGCAGACCGCAGACCTGTATATCGTTGACGAGCCCTCCTCCTTTCTCGACGTTCGGCAGCGGTTGCGAGCGGCGCGCGCGCTGCTCGATCTGCGCGCCGGCGCGTGGACCGGAACGCCCAGCTTTCTTCAGCCACAAAAACATCGAGTGGCTTTATCCAGGCGACCGCTACGTCCTCGTGGTCGAACACGACCTCGCGGTGCTCGACTACCTCGCGGACATGGTCGTACTCGTGGTTGGAGCGCCCAATCAGTACGGGATGGTGAGCGTGAGGCAGGGTCGGATCGGGAGAGCTCGGAGATCAGCTTAGCACGTTGCGCCTGCCCCACCCGGCTTAGGTGTCCTTGCCCTACCGCACGGGCGTCGGCATCAACATGTTTCTGCGTGGTGCCGTCCCTCGCGTCACCAGTGCAGGTGAGCTCCCGTTCCGCGAGACAGTCCTCGACTTTGGAGCCAGGTGACTTCTGCCTTTCACCGCGTCTCTCCCTTGGCTTTGCCTCACGCCGCCCCTCCCCCCTCTCCCAGGGCGCCGCCACAGGTCGGGCCGTGCTGGCACTACCCGGCGGCAGTGATCACCCGGCCGGGCGCCTTCCGGCTGCAGGTTGCGGCGGGGGCGTTCAACGCGGGTGAGATTGTGGTGCTGCTCGGCGAGAACGGCACGGGCAAGACCACGTTCATGAAGCTGCTGTGTGGGGAGGTCGACCCGGATGGCGGGAAGGGGGTCTTTGAGCGCCGCCGCGTGGCGTACAAGGCGCAGGATCCGGCGGATCTCCGCGCGCGGCACGCGGGTACGGTGCAGGAGGCGCTGGCAAGCGCCGCTGCGGGCGAGTTGCCGCCGGCGGAGGAGCTCGAGCTCGTGGCGACAATGCTTGAGCGGCCAGTCTCGTCGCTCAGCGGCGGAGAGCTGCAGCGGCTGGCGATCGTGCTCGCCCTTTCCGTGGATGCCGAGGTCGTCCTGATGGACGAGCCCTCCGCGTATCTCGATGCCGAGCAACGCATCGCCACTTGCCAGGCCATCCGACGCTGCATCTCGCGGACTGGCCGAATGGCGCTCGTGGTGGAGCACGACTTTATGATGGCCAACTACCTCGCCGACCGCGTGGTGGTCTTCTCGGGCGAGCCGGGGCGCTCCTGCGCCCTGTCCGCGCCGCTGCCGGTGGAGGAGGGTATGAACTCGTTCCTGGCGCACGTGGGCGTGACCTTCCGCTGCGATCACGACAGCGGACGGCCGCGGGTGAACAAGCCGCAGAGCGCCAAGGACCGGGCGCAGACGCGGGCCGGGACCTACTACGTGCTTAACGCGGTGGGCGAAGATTAGTATGAGTTAACCTAGAGGGACTTCGTTCGCACCTGCCAACACAGCGATCACGCGCCGCCCCGCCAAGGCCTCAATCTAGTGCTCGAGGTGCAGCTGCAGGTCTGCTGGTTTTCACGTTCAGGTAAGGAAGTCTAAAGTCAAATGTCAATCGCCCCAAAACTTTCCTTTAGGCAAAACAAGTGTGTGCTCACATAGATCAAGATCAGATCTGCGACACGCCCAAGGTTGCCCCGCGCCTGTCCTGTGTACAGGCGCGGGATGTATCATCCCGCCGTCCCGCCGTCCCTTCTGCCTCGTCATCACCAAAAGCCCTTCTGCCTCGTCATCACCAAAAGATCTCACGCAGCCTCGACTTTCCCCTCCCCCTCCTCCCCCTCCTCGTCATAGTCCTCCTCGTCCTCCTCGCCCGCGTCCTCCTCCCCCGCCTGCGCGCGGGGAGAGAGGGGGTCATCGCGGCAAAGCAGGCCGACGGCAGAAGACACGCACCTCCGCCTCATAGTCCTCCTCCTCCTCCTCCTCGTCCTCCTCCTCCTCCTCGACCTCCTCCTCCTCCCCTGCCTCCTCCTCCTCCTCCCCTGCCTCCTCCTCCTCCTCCTCCTCCTCCTCCTCCTCCTCCTCCGCCGCCGCCTCCACCTCCTCCTCCTCCGTCACCTCAGCCTCCTCCCCTGCCACCTCATCCTCCGCCTCCGGCTCGCCCGCGTCCTCCTCCGCCTCCTCCGCCGCCGCGCCGCCAGCCTCCACCGCCCCTCCTCCTAGCAGCGTGCAACCCACGATCCGGTCCATCTTTGGAAACTTGTCGGCAAGGTACTTGGCCGCGTCCGGCCGGTCGGGCTGCATCCGCCCTTGGTCCGGCGCGTCACCTACTCGAACCTCGCCGCGTCGAGACGCCCCCCCCTCCCTCCTGCCCGTGCGGCTGCTGCGATCCGCACCGTACCCCGAGTAGATTGCTCGCACCACGGGCATCCCGCTCACCACGCGGCCGACGGGAACCTCCCATTGCCTGTGGCCGAGGCCGGGCTGGCTGCCCAGCGTGATGAAGAGGTGGGTGGAGCGAGAGTCCGTCCCGTAGCCCGCGAACGAGAGGATGCCGTCGGTAAACGGCACGCCGGCCGGCCGCGGGTCGTCGCGGATGTTGCCCTGCGACTGCCAGTGCCTCTGCTTCTCCGCGCTCGTCGAGATTCCGAACTGGACGAGAAACTGGCGGAGAGAGTGGCGAGGGTGGGAAATGACTGTGGCTTGTGCGTGGGTGTGTGCGTGTGTGCGTGCCGCCGCGCGCGTCGCGCGCACGTTGGGAAGCATGCGGAAAAAGGGAAGCTGCTCGAAGAAGCCCGACTTCGCCATCCCAAGGACACGCTCCACGCCGGCGGGCGCCCAGTCGGGACGCAATTCAATCGTGAAGCTGGAGTCGTCGACCTGGACCGTTGTCTTGCAGACGAGGGTCGGGGCAGCGGCGGGGACCGGAGCAGCGGTAGCCGCGACCAGGAACATGGCCATTCGTACAAGTTAGAGGTAAGAAGAAATCGCGCTCCTCAGCGCACAACCCCGGGCCCCGAAATTGGCAGTACTGGTCTGCGAGAGGTTGAGGTGCGAGCCATGGTGCATGGAGGCCCTGGGGATGGGGGGAGACCACCCGCGGGCCTAGAACAAGGCCCGCGCGCAGGGGGGTGGGACATTGAGACCGGTCACAGAAACGCATAACCCCGGGCCAAACAGTCTTTTCACAGTCTAGGCAGTCTGGCGCAGTCTGGCGCAGTCTGATGCAGTCTGACGCAGTCAGACGGACGATAAAATCGGGCTGACTGTTGGACGGCCAACGGGTCTCCGCACCCATGGCCAACAACGGTCTCCGGCCAACAAAGTCCGACGGCAGCTGCGGCGGCCCTTCGTGTTGGAGAGTCGAGATATTGAGAGTGTGACTAGGAGGGAGGGACGCTAGGGATTCTCAAAGGTATGTATGTAACTATTGAGAGGATTTGGGTTAGCACGTAGCACCAGCTCGAATCACGACGATCCAAACATCGACGCGACAAACGCCGGGTGGTCGTGCATCCACAGCGCACCCTTGTACGCGCTGAGGGAGAGGAGCAGCAGCAGGAACCAGCCGTTCCACCGCGCCTCGAGGTGCAGCTCAGCGTACTTCTCGACCAGCCAGAGCACGGTGAAGGTGGTCGCCGTGTTGGCGAGGCCGGGCACGCCGCACACCCACCCGCCGGCCGCGCCGAGCAGCAGCGCCGCCATCGTGGCGAGGTTGAGCAGCGCGTAGCGCGTCCTCTTCTCGGCGCGGCGGCCGCGCTCGTAGTAGAGCGACGAGACGATGAGCAGCGCGAGGTAGAGCGTGAGCGCGCCCACCACGCTGAGCGGCGAGTCGAACGGGCCGAGGGCGGCACGGCCTCGCGCCTCGCGCACCGCCAGGTGCGAGGCGAGCAGCAGCGCCGAGGTGGCGCACACGCGCTCGACGGCGCGCTTCGAGTGGAAGCCGACGACCCAGCAGAGGCCGCGGCAGCCCACCGAGAAGCCGAGCGCGCTGTACGCGGCAAAGGTCGCGAGGTAGGCGAGCAGCGGCGAGGCGTGCGCGAGGGCGAGCGGCGTGAGCGTCGCGCACGCCCACGCGCTCACCAGCGAGCAGAGCGCCTCGCGGTCGCCGCCCTTGAGCTTGGCGGCCCACAGGGCGGAGGAGTAGCCGAAGCAGGGCCCAAGCGCGAGCGCGGCCGACGTGGCGGCCACGAACACCGCCGCTTCCGGGTGGAAGACGGCGAACGCGTCGAGAAGCAGCGCGGCCGTGAAGAGCCACGCCGCCGCCTCGAAGACGCCGTAGACGTGCAGCCGGACGCAGAGCGGCTCGATGACGCGGCGGAAGAGCCAGCGCGCGAGGCGGAGCAGCTGCTCGCGCAGCGGCGTGAGCGCGTGCACGAGCGACGGGCCGACCGAGACGGCGATGCCCACAATCGAGAGCAGCCAGACGAGGTTGATGAAGGTGAAGGCGCCGCCCACGCGCGCTATCACGCCGCGTTGGTGCTCCACCTCGTGCAGGCGCGCCTCGACGGCACGCAGTTCATCAAGCGAGAGGGCGGCCCGGCCCACCAGCCCCGCGGCGCGCTTGAGCAGCGGCGGCACCGCCTCCGGCAGCGCTGGCACCGCCGCCGTCCCATTGTCAGAGGCAGCGGCGGCGGCCATGGCGGCCTCCACCCGTTGCGCAAGCCCGCCCAGGACGAAGGCGGCGTGCGGCGAGGCCGGCACGGGTGGAAGCACGCGCGCGAGAGGCGACAGCCCTCCCGGCGCCAGGTCCGCCTGTCCCTTCAGCAGCAGGCCGCCGGAGGCGCGCGCAGGCAGCCACGCTAGCGTCGGGGCGGGGGCGACGCACAGCGCCGAGCAGAGGGCCGTGTACGCGAGCGCCCAGACCCACCAGCGCAGCCAGATGTAGAGCGAGCGCAGCACCGAGCCACGGCGCTGCCGATCCGCCTGCCGGGCCAGCGACGCGGGCACGCCGCCCGGCGCGACGATGGAAGCATCGCCACCCGCGCTGAGCGACGCGCGAATGAGCGAAGCGCGCGTGGGGATCTGCGCGAGCGGCATCGTCCCCGTGCCGTCGCACTCGCACAGCAGCTCGATGAGAAAGACCGGGTCGCCCGCTTCGACGGCCGTGTCCACCAGGCTGAAGAGGGCCGCGTGCGAGAGCTGCTTCGCGCCGAGCGTGAAATCGAGATCGGTCGTCGTTGAGGAGCGCGCGCTCAGCGTGTGCGCGCCGCGGACGTGCGTCAGCCGGAACGGAAGCAGCGTGGGCGCGAGCACTCGGATGGCCGCGCGCTGTCCGGCGAGCGCCGGGCCGACGAGCGTGATGCGGAGAGCGGAGAGCGGCGCGGCCTGTCGCCGGAGGTCGGTGCTGATCTGAACGTGCAGGCCGTGGCCTCTCCGGACGGTACCAGGCGTCGCGGATGCGGAGGTGACGCGCAGAACGGGCTCCATGTGCGTCGTGCCGAGGCGTTGGATGTGGTGCTCGCCTGTGGGACACGTCCACGACACGTCACGGACAGGCCCGGCAGAGTCAACCCCGTGGGACACGGCCCGGCATTTGGGGCCTGGAGCCCTGTTCACGCGCGCGCGAGACGTGCATCTCTCTCGTGAATCTTGTCGTAGCTGGAGGGGATGTCGACCTTAAGCTAACTGGCGTCGCCCTCGGGTTATCCCTTCTCTTTTGATTCCCCATAGAGGGCAGCGCTGCCAGCGAGCGGAGGCGGCGACCTAGGCATCTCTGTCAGCTCGCTCAGCCATGGGTCGCAAGCCCGGTCGAGGGCCAGGAGCCTCTCCTCCTCCTCCGTCAACGCGTCGTCGGAGGAGCTCTGCTGTGGTCCGAGCCCTCTGCTTCTTTGCGGACCGCCAGGCCGCGGGATGATGCGTGCGTGGTCATGTAGTGGGTCTCGGAAGCTCCCCTCTCGGGCTAGGAGCCAGCCCCTCTCCCTTGCCCTCGGAACACCGCGTCCGAGTCGAGGCGTTGTGTTCTAGAAAATTCTTTTCCTCCTTTTTGGTGCCCTCGGCGCGCGCGCTGCCTATCTGAAAGCGCAGATCCGGTGTATGTGCGACAGTGCCATCAGCTCTGTCAAGAGCCTCTTCGGCGCGAAGGATTCGCGGAAAAATGGCCGAGAGGCCTCGCAGAAAGAGGTGACGGCCGCCACGCCTGGCTCGCTCTGGTTCACTCCGGAGGCCGGCTGGCCAAAGGGAGCCAAGTGGCCCGGGAAGGCGCCGCGCTCGCTGCTGCCGACACGCGAGGAGAGCCCGGAGCTCTTCTTCCTGCCGCCGGCGCTCGGCGAGCTGCGCGTGGAGGTGCTCGAGGCGGAGGGCTTAAAGAAGTCCGACACCTTTTCGGAGAACGACGTCTTTGCGCTGGTCGTCTTCGAGGGCGCCGCGGCGGTCAGCTCGGTGCTCGACAACGCGGCGCACCCGAGGTGGACTCCGCGCCACGCGCGCGCCTTCAAGTTCTCGCCGCGCCGGCCGCACTCGAGACTGTGCGTCGCGCTCTTCGACGAGGACATGGTGGGCGACGACGATCCGCTCGGGCGCGCCGAGATCCCGCTCGCTGCGCTGCACCCGTTGACCGAGTACGATGTCTGGATGCCGCTTCAGAAGGCGCCGCACACACTAGTTTATCTCCGGCTCGCACATCCCGAGTGAGCTAAACGGGTCCGTCGTAAACGGCGTCTCGTGCGTCCGCACTGCGAGCTTTGCGGCACCGGTTGCTGGACACCCCATGGGGCCTTGCCACTGAAGCACGCCCGCTTCTCACGCCCTCTCCACAGCCCTCCTCAGAGCCCTCTCGGTCCCTTCCGACAGGCGCCCTACACGCTGCACATGCGCAAGTACGGCCGCGTCCGACTCCGCTTCTCGATCCAGTGGTACTCCGAGACGGACCGGTTACTGCGCTACCCCGCGGCGCTCTCAGGCTCGGAGCCGCCGCACGTGCTTCCGTTCAAGCAGCGGCGCTGGAGCGAGGCGGCCTCATTCGCTGCGAACGGCCCGCCCCTCGACAAGAACTTCCTAGACACTTCCTAGACACTTCCAAGATGAACTGTCTAGGAAGTGTCTAGGCCCGCCCCTCGACAAGAACTTCAAGATGAGCGTCTGCGTCGCGCGCTTCAACGAGCTGTACGAGGTCGTCGGCGTGACGAGCCTCGCCACGCACGCGCTAAAGTCGCTCGTCTGCTACAGGTCCACCTCTCCCCAGATCTCCCCACATCTCCCCAGATCTCGCGCGCCCGCCTACCAGCAGGTCCATCTCTCCCCAGATCTCCCCACATCTCCCCAGATCTCGCGCACCCGCCTACCAGCAGGTCTATATCTCCCCAGATCTCCCCACATCTCCCCACATCTCCCCACATCTCGCTCGCCCGCCTACCAGCAGGTCCATCTCTCCCCAGATCTCCCCATCTCCCCCAGGGACGGCAACGTGCTCTCGTCGGCGCTGGTGGGCCTACTATGGCAGCTCTGCTGCGTCAAACCGAACCTGCTCCCCTCGTGCGGCCCGCTCCTCCTCCTCGCCATCCTGTCGGTCAAGCACGCGCACTCGCGCGCGTACATGCCCGGTGTGATGCAGACGCCGTCGGCGTGGCGAATCATGCGCGGCATGCTGCCGCAGCTGCCGCCTGTGCTGCCGCCGCCGCGCGGCACGCGGCTGCCGCCGCGCCCTCTAGGAACCTTCTAGGAACCTTCTAGGAACCTTCTGGGAACCTTCTAGGCAAGCGGCTGCCGCCGCTCGCCCGGCCAGCCGACGACTCTGGCGACGAGCTGTCCGACGAGGGATCGCCTTCTACGAGCCTTCTGGGAGCCTTCTGGGACCCTTCTAGGTCTGCGGCTCAAGTCGGACGTGGACTCGCCTTCTACGAACCTTCTGGGAGCCTTCTGGGACCCTTCTAGGTCTGCGGCTCAAGTCGGACGTGGACTCGCCTTCTACGAACCTTCTGGGAGCCTTCTGGGACCCTTCTAGGCGACGAGCTGTCCGACGAGGACTCGGACGACGAGCGGCCGCCAACCTACGAGGAGGAGCTGGTGCCGCCAACCTACGAACCTTCTAGGAACCTTCTGGGAACCTTCTAGGCCGCCAACCTACGAGGAGGAGCTGGTGCCTTCTAGGAACCTTCTAGGAACCTTCTGGGAACCTTCTAGGCCGCCAACCTACGAGGAGGAGCTGGTGCCTTCTAGGAACCTTCTAGGAACCATCTGGGAACCTTCTAGGCCGCCAACCTACGAGGAGGAGCTGGTGCCTTCTAGGAACCTTCTAGGAACCTTCTGGGAACCTTCTAGGCCGCCAACCTACGAGGAGGAGCTGGTGCCTTCTAGGAACCTTCTAGGAACCTTCTGGGAACCTTCTAGGCCGCCAACCTACGAGGAGGAGCTGGTGCCTTCTAGGAACCTTCTAGGAACCTTCTGGGAACCTTCTAGGCCGCCAACCTACGAGGAGGAGCTGGTGCTGATGCGCGACGCGCGGGCGGTCAAGCGGGAGAAGGCCAAGGAGGAGGAGCGCAAGAAGGCGGCGGCGCGCGAGGCCAGGGGCGAGAAGCTCGATGACGAGCTCGCGACGCAGGGCATCGCCGGCGCTCTCGCGCGGCAAAACAGCAGCCTCAGCAAGAGCAAGCTGCAAAAGGTGAGCGAGGCCGCCTCGGGTCATCTCGGGTCATCTCGGGTCATCTCGGGTCATCTCGGGTCACCTCGGGTCACCTCGGGTCATCTCGGGTCATCTCGGGTCATCTCGGGTCATCTCGGGTCATCTCGGGTCATCTCGGGTCATCTCGGGTCATCTCGGGTAGTCTCGGGTAGTCTCGGGTCATCTCGGGTAGTCTCGGGTCATCTCGGGTCATCTCGGGTCATCTCGGGTAGTCTCGGGTCATCTCGGGTAGTCTCGGGTCATCTCGGGTAGTCTCGGGTAGTCTCGGGTCATCTCGGGTAGGTGAGCGAGGTGGTCTCGCTCAACAACTTGGACCTCAAGCACCTGCATGCGAGAGCCAGCCGGGAGAGGAGATATAGCCGGGATTCGGCCGCTGTTTGAGGGGAAGCATCTCGCGTGGCTGTGGACAGATCTCCCCAGATCTCCCCAGATCTCGTGTGATCTCCCCAGAAGCATCTCGCGGGGCTGTGGACAGCGCCTCCCCGAGAACATCCGCGTGGCCTAGAGATGCGCGCCTGAGCCTCGCAGCGAGAGATCGGCATTGACTCGGGCGGCGAGTGCTGACTAGTGGCTCTCACGTCCTCGCTAGCCGTGAGGAGAAGGCCTCCCATCCCTAAGTGTTGACTAGTGGCTCTCACGTCCTCGCTAGCCGTGAGGAGAAGGCCTCCCATCCCTAAGTGTTGACTAGTGGCTCTCACGTCCTCGCTAGCCGTGAGGAGAAGGCCGACCATCCCTAAGTGTTGACTAGTGGCTCTCACGTCCTCGCTAGCCGTGAGGAGAAGGCCTCCCATCCCTAAGTGTAAGCCGGCGGGCGGAGACCTCACCTCTCGTGGCTGGAGCGCGCTCTCCGGGACGCTGCATGTTCACACCGCTCTCCCGCGAGCAGGACCTCAACCCGATCCAGCGAATGCTCACCGCCTACCTCGCGCCAAAGCAGAAGCGGCTCGGAGAGACGCTGCAGTCCCTCCGCTCTCTCCGCGGCCTCTTCGAGTGGCGCGACCCGCTCGCGACATGGTGGCTCGCGCTGCTGCTCGCGGCCGCCGCCCTACTCCTCGCGCTGCCGCCGTGGCAGCGCATCATGCAGCTGCTCGGCGCCGCGCTCTTCGGGCCGCACATGTACTTTGTCGGGCGGATGCGTGCCGTGCAGCTCGCGATGGGCTTCGACGCAGAGACTTGCAGCGAGGCGCTCGGGACTGTGGGGAGAGATGGCGAGATGTGGCGAGATGTGGCGAGGTCGGGTGCGCTGCTTCTCCCACAGAGATGGGGAGAGATGGCGAGATGTGGCGAGACATGGCGAGACATGGCGAGATATGGCGAGGTAGATGCGGCGCAGATCCTCGAGGGGCTGCACTCGCACGAGACCGTACCCCCACGCCCTCCGCTCCCTGTCCTCGAGGCGCTCGAGGCGCGCTTCCGGCACGCGGACTCTGCCGGGCAGAGGGCGATGCTCGAGGCCGCGCTCTCCAAGGAGGAGGCGGAGGAGGCGGCGGCCGAGGTGGCCGAGGAGAAGCGCAAAAAGGCGGCCTACCGGAAGCAGCTCGAGCGAGAGAAGCTCTCCGCCGAGCAGAAGCGGCTCCGCTTCGCCGCGCTCGCGCGCGCCGGCCACCCGCTGGTGGTGCCGTCGCACCCGCTCACCTTCAACAAGCACTTTTACGAGCTCGACCCGTACAATTCGCGCGCCTATCCCACCGAGGACGCCGACGCGGAGCGCAAGCGCAAGCTCGCCGCTGAGCAGGCCGAGAGGGAGAAGTGACGCGGCCGCGGCGTATTCGCGAGCTGGGCGAGGGGGGGCCTGCCCCTGTGGGTGTGACTACAGCCGCCGCGGCCCTGTGGACCCCCCCCCCCCCGAACAAGAGGGATCCGGACGAGATAGGACACAGCTCTTGGCGTGGGCCAGGGAGGATTCAGGTATATCACTTATCAGGACACGCATGGCCACACACATCATATTCATACGGGCGCCCATCAAGCATCATGTGCATCGGAATCACATTCTAGCCGCACTCTCCCAAAGAACTGATGCATTTACAGCTCGGTCATCGCCCTCAGCCTCACAAAGTTACAATCCAATACCTCAAAAATGAACAACGACGCGCGGGCTCCGCCCCGCGGCGGGAAATAGAGAGTAAAATACGTACGCAAGTGGAAACGCTGTAACAGAGCGCGCCGCCGTGGCTCCCGCAGCACTCACGAGCAGCGATCGCTCTCCGCCTCACGCGCCACGTCGCGGCTCAGCGCGGCGTCCAGCGCGGCGAGCTGCGCCGCCGCCTCGCTCGGCCGCCAGCGCTCCTCGGGCGCGGTGGCGAGCATCCCAGTCAGCAGGGCGTGTAGTGCCTCCCGCGCCTTGCCCTCGCGGGTGCCCAGCGCGGCGCCGCCCCACCCCCGCGCCGCGT